GAGCGCAGTAACAGTGTATCCACCTCTAGAGCAGCCTGTGTGCAGGCAATTAGCTTAATAATCACTTCCACCATGTCTCCCAGCTTTGTGTGGCGGCTGCCTGTCCTCAGGATTCCTTGGTCTGCGACCACGTCTCTGCAGTTGCAGTGACTGGTCAAGGCCTTCTCACTGTGTCTTGTTCTCTGTGCACCTCCCTTGAAAAGACACCAGTGAAGACTTGCTGGTGTGGCTCAAGTGGTACAGTGCCTGCCTAGCAAGAAAGTGTGAAGCCCTGAGTTCAAACCCCAGTACCACCGGGGGAAAAAAAAATAAAAAGAAGAGGAAAGAAAAAGAGAAACTTGTCATGGCATTTAGGGATAAGAGCGCAGCCCAGGATCAGCGTCCCCCTCGAGGCCCTCCCTGCAGCCCGTCTTTTGCCACCTGAGGTCACATCCACAGGATCAGGTTTAGGATGGATCTTTGGGACAGAGTAACTTCAGCCGGTCACAGAGGCCCACACAAACCTTTTCATATCTTTTAAAGTCAGGGAGGAAGAATTTTTAGGTTGAAGGAAACACATATGTTTTATATATAACATTAATGTATTTTCCTTTTAAAAATAGTTTCACTTTTGAATTGGCATACATTAATAATATCGGGGCGGGGGTGCTCCATTCGTGCACACAGTGTGCTTTGAACAAGTTCACTCCCTCCGTCATCTTCCCATTCCTCCTTTTACCTCCCTGTTTTCCAAACAGTACTTGGTGGATTTCACTATGAATACATTTTCTTTATAGCAGCAGTCGGATAGTGACTATAGTTTTAAATGTAATTTTATTTATGTAGCTATATATTTATTTATTTATTGGCAGTATGGAGTTCAAACTCAGGGCCTCACACTTGCTAGGCAGGCACTCTACCACTTGAGCCACTCCACCAGCCCTATTTTGTGATGGGTTTTTTTTCGAGATAGGGTCTCATAAACTATTTGCCCAGGCTGGCTTCGAACCTCAACCCTCCTGATCTCTGCCTCCTGAGTAGTTAGGATTACAGGCGTGAGCCACCGGTGCACTGCTAAATATGATTTTATTTACGAGGTATGTGTGCTTGAATGGCAGCTGGCTGAAGGGACTTCGGGGAGAGCTGCAGGGGCTTCTCTTCTGGGTGTGTGTGACAAGTGACAGCATAGAGACATTTGAGCAGGCTCTGTGGGAAGCAGGGAGCTCATGTTTGAAGAGGTACCATGGGGGGATATTTGTATAGACTATTTCATTTTCCTTCAAAACTGCCTTCTCAGATGGACTTCTGTAAGAGTAGCTTTGCTGAACAGAATTCACGTAAAATATGATACACCCATTTCAAAGGTGCAATTCAGGTTTTCTTTTGTACATTGGCTATCCTCACAGCAACTAAGTTAGCACATTTCTGTGCCCACCTTCATCAGCAGTCAGTCCCCGTCTTCCCCCCAGGGCCTACTGCTCTCCGTCCCACCCAAGAGGCTGCTGCTGCTGCTTCTGTCCCCAGGGAAGGCCAGGTCACCTGAAGCTCCCTAGAGTGCTGGCAGCTGAGTGTTGGTGCTTTGTGAAGACCAGGGTGCTTGCTGTGCGAAAAACAGCTGTGCTGCCTGTAACTACCAGGCTGAAGGGGTCAGCTGTGTCTCTGATGTCCCCTTGTTTTCCATAGACGCTGTGCATGGAGTCTCAGGCTGGCCAAAGAGGGCTGACATATATGGCACAAAACCAAAGGAGGGTCCCTGGCCAAACTAACTCCATTTTGTCCTGACTCTGTTTTTACCTCCAACTTCTCCCTCCTGCAGTCACCTTGAGTTCTGTCATCTCTGTGACAAGAGTCAAATCTACCCCCCACGCAGCAGGTGCCTGTGGTCCTGAGATGAGGATCCAACACTGATGACCTTCCCGAGCTTCCTGCCCCTTCCCTATGTAATCTAGAAGTTCGTGTCAGTGCCCCAAAGTCAGACTTGGGGTCACTGGACCCCTTTACTTGTTTTTCCCATGGCCACATTAGTTGAATCTCCTTTTTCTGCCCTTCACCACTACCTGTCCCTCGAATTGGTGCATTGGGATGGATGGCTGAGCCCGGTCCGTTGCCCTAAAACTGTAACAAAATGTGAAAAGCCAAAGCCAATGTCTGTGCTCCAAGCAAGCTGGGATCTCAGGACCCGAAGGAAAGAGAAATGCAGAGTCACACACTTGTGAAGGAAAGGTGGGGACAAGAGCGCAGCCACCCAGGGAACTCTTAAGATAGGCCCTAAACAGGCCTGTATATGGGGCCACCATGCCTGGGGTATGAGTGGAAACTGTGGCATCCTCCAGGGCTGGGTGACTCAGTGAATGTGTCACAGACACAGTAGCTGTCCCCCAAGGCCCCATCCTCTGCCTGTCCTAAGCAGGCCTGGCTACCCAGCTGCACTCTGTGTCCCAGCATCCCTTCCGGTTGGGTCTCACTGGTAGAGTGTGAGAGGAGGTGGTGCACCGGCTTCCAGGCCTGGCATGTGCCCCTTCCGTGGGCTGGACGCAAAGGAGGTATATCAGCCCTTTGTCACTGCTATAGCAAGTCACAACAAACTCTCCACCTTAACACAGCACAACTCCACTCCCCTTTGGTTCTGGGGCCAGGAGTCATTGGGCTCGAGTTAAGGTAAATTCAGGGCTGGTTCATTCTGCAGGCTCCAAGAGTGACTGTTGGTGGCCTTTCTTGCTTCTGGAGGCTGCTGCATCTATCTCTTGGCTTGTGGCCCCTTCCTTGTATCACGCCTGAACCAGTGGAATATACTGACTATTGCCCCATGGATGGATCAGGTTTTGCAAATTCACTCCAACATTCTTGTGAACAATTTGTAACACTTTATTGGCTTATTCATATATAAAATGGTGGTACTGGGGCTTGAACTCGGGGCTTTGCGCTTACGAGGCAGGTATCTTACCACTTGAGCCATAAATAAAATCTTTGGTGTGCCTTAATTTTACGTGTTTTCAAAGGACAACATCACAATTTATTTATTTATTTTACTCATTGTTTTGGTGGCACTGGGCTGTGACATACTCGCTAGGCCATGCCCCCAGCACAAAATTACAACAATTTCGTTTAAGACTTTAATGGGCTTTATTTTATTATTTAAATTTTTTCTCAGCACATTATTTGTTGTGCAGGAAGGGTTCACTGTGACAATTCTGAATGCTTTATGTTGCTCATTGGTTAGATAGTCCACCATCACCCCCCTCAATCCTCATTTTACAATTTTAGAATCTTTATTTCATAAAACAGGGTAAGTGTTCTGATATGCTAGGTTATTATTTTTTTTTGTGGACTGGGGTTTGAACTTATGTCTTTGCACTTGCAAAGCAGGTACTCTACTGCTTCAGCCACACCTCCAGTCCAGTTTTTGGTCTGGTTATTTTAGAGATGGGGTCTCTCCAACTATCTGCCCAGGCTGGCCTTGAACTTCAATCCTCCCAATCTCAGCCTCCCAGGTAGCTAGGATTGCAGGTATGAGCCACCAGTAGCGGCTTGTTTGTTTTGTTTTTGTGGTGCTGGGGTCTACTCAGGACCTTGTGCATGCTAGGCAAATGTGACCACTGAGCTACACCCCAGCCTCAAAAGGTTGTTGTTACAGACAGAGAAGGGCTTGAAGAAGAAACAAAAGCAAAAGGCGAATTTGGCATTTCAAAGTTATTTTCATGTAATTCCGGGACATGGAGATGGAACAACAGTAAATTGATTAGCTAATCTCAGATTATTTCAGGTTATTTCTTTTGTGTACGGACTGAAGCAGAGAGAACATTATCATTTGATTTGAAACTGGCATATGTGGGAAATTTATCTCTCTAACCCTGATTTCTCAGAAAGTTAGTTAACCTTTTTTTTTTTTTTTCAATTGGGGGAGGTGCCCTTGCTGGCCTTGAACTCCTGGGCTGAAGCAATCCTGCCTCCACCTTCTGGCTGCTGGGACTACAAGCAGAAACCACCACACTCCGCTGAGAGAAATACCTCAGTTTCAGCCTGGTGATGTGGAACGTTAGTGTGAGTGACTCCATTTTAATTTTTTAGCCTTGTCTGTCAGGGCCCAGTAGAGAAGCGTGGTCCCAAACACTGCCAGCAGTTTTTAATTAACAAAGCACGTAAACATCGTGATTTTATTTTTTTTTCTTTTCTGACATGTCCCTCTGCATCCCAAATCCCCAATCCATCCTCACATCTGACAGTGGAACTTCTCTAAGTCTCTCACTTTTGCCACCTTTGTCTGAATTGGTCTCACTCGGCTCCCCCCCTCCCGCCCCCCTCCACTTCCCACCCAGTCTCCTCACAGCATCCAGAGGATGCAGGTTTTATGATGCCCCTCGTCGGCTGAACTTCCTCCAAGCATTTTCCATTTCGTTGAAGATACAGACCAAGGACCTGGCTGTGCCCTTCCAGCCTCTGCATGTATTTAAGTTCTACATTGTCCCGGGCATCTTTCCACGACACCTTCGACTTCTTCTTAGCATCTGTTATGCTGCCTAACTCTGTGTCAATGCCCGATTCTCCTTCTACGCTGCAAGGTCTCTGAGGGCAAGGCTCGTATCTGTCCCGATGACCTCACTACACGTACCTGACCTTCTCTGGATGGACGGACAGAAAGATGAAGGGTGGGTGGGTGGATGGATGGGTGGTTGGGTGGGTAGACAGACTGAAGGATGGGGATCGGTGTTTGATGGACAGAGGGGTGGATGGCGTGGAGGCTTGTTCCCTGCGGCTGGCCATGGCGCTGTCCCCCTGGGAGGCTGTCTTCCCTTTCTCTCGCGGGCAGGGTCTGAGTCCTAAGGTGCCACCATGGGGGGGCTGTCCCTGGACACCGTCCTCCACCCACGTGCACGCCCGGGAATCCCACAGCCTGCCTGCGCTTCCCGGATCGGGGGTTTCCACCCCCACCGCAGCACAGCCTGCAGCAGCCTGGGGTCGCGAAGGGGCGGGGCGGGGGCGGGGCCTCGCAGGTCCCGGATGTGGCCCCGCCTCCCGCGGAACCGGAAGTGAGTGGGCTGGGAGCAGCAGGCGCGACAGGGCCCAGGCTGACGGGGCGAGGATCGGGCCGAAGACGACGTGGGGTGAGCGGCGGGCGCGGGCGGCCCTGCACGCGGCGGGCGCGGGCGGAACGGGAAGGAAGCGGTCGTCTCGCCGCGCTTCCGCTTGCGGTTTCGGGCGGGGGAGGGGGAGGGAGGGCAGGCGAGGAGTCCCCGGCCTGCGGCGGGGGGGCGGGCGGGGTGCAGGACCGGGATTTCCCGGGGGCGGGGGCGAGATGTTGGTAATCGAGGGTCTAGAGGAGGGGTAGGAGCTGGGGGGCCGCGAGGAGCTGGGGAGGAGGAGGCCGGGGCCGGAGGGGGAGGGGCGGGGCACCGACCTGAGGTGCTGGAGATCCCGGGGTCTAGGGGAAGAGGTGGGGTTCTGGGAGGGTCCTTGAGATCGGGGGGCTAAGAGGGGCGGGGGCTCTAAGGAGGCTCCATTCCCAGCGCTCAGGGAAAGGGGTGAGGGCCTGGGAGATCCCCGGGATCCGAGGGTCTGGGAGGAAGGGCGGGGTCTGGGGTGGCCCGGGTTCCACCGCCTAGGAGTAGAGGCGAGGTCGGGGCAAGGGGCGGGGATTTGGGGAGGCTCTTGTCAGCCACTAGGAGAAGGGGTGGGAGGTTTGGGGAGTCCCCGGATCCCAGAATTTAGGGGAAGGGTCGGGGGTCTAGGGAAGCCCAGATCCGAGCGCCTCGGGGAAGGGATGAGGTCCTTGAACCTAGGGGAAGGGGCGAGGTCTGAGGAGGCCCGGGTCCCAACGCCCAGGGAAAGCATTGGGGAGTTTGGGAGGCCCCGGTGTCCCAGGATGTAGCGGAAGGGGCGGGGATCTGGGGAGGCCCAGGTCTGAGCGCCTAAGGGAAGGGGTGTAGGGTGAGGGACGGGGTGGGGGGTCTGGGGAGTCCCCGGGGTCCGAGGGTCTAGGGGAAGAGGTGGGAGGTCTGGGGAGGCAGACTAGCGTCTAGGCGGGGAGGTGGGGAAGCAGGCGGGGTGGGCATTCCCGGGCGCTCGTGGGCACCGCGCAATGGGGTCAGTGCGAAGGCGGCGCGCGCAGCTGCCGCGTGGAGCCGGGACCTGGACCGCTTCGCTGGTGTGTGCGATGTCGCTCCGGGGTGTCGGGCCCGCGTGGCCACGAGAAGTACCGCGTCGGGGTCACCGGGGAGGACTTGCGCACTGTGTAGAGGCACCGAGGCCCTCGTCGCGGTGCCATCTCGGCTTTGACCTGGCCGGCCCTGGCCTTGTGAGGGGCGTGACCCGCTCCACCAGGCCTGGCAAGGCTGCGGATGGGAGCGCCGCCTGGGTGCGGGGCAGGGCGGATCCCGTCCGAGTGAGTCACCGCTCCGCTCTCATCCCTCTGGTTGGAGAAATATCCATCAGAAATTCAAGGAACCAGAAAACTGCTTTAGTGGGACCTTCAGACAGAAAAATAAAGAGCAGAGGGGGATGCAGAGTCGTTTCTGATATTAGGTCCCCCTTTATGAAGTGACCCTCCCTAAAGCTGACCCTTACTGGGAGCTTGGACTCCTCTTATAAACACTGCGAATTGCAGTGAACATAATGGGCGATTCAGACCTCTGGCCTGTGCCCATGCAGAAGCTGCCAGAGGTCAAAAGTGACATGTGAGTGCCTGAGCACCCTCACCTCTTGTGTTGTGTTCTTTGTCCTGGGCAGCTGACAGCGGGGAGGGTGTCCCTGTGCACCCCAGTGAGGCTGCAAGTGTGGTGTGGGGACCAGTCACCCCCATGCCTTTCTGCTCTCTTTGGCTTCCTGCTGTTAGTAGAGAGCTGGCCGCTAGGTGTGGTCATCTGGGCAGTGACACACTGCTCTGGGGGAGGACCTTCCTGTTTGTTTTGTGCGGGGCATACTGCTGCCCTGCTCACACTCAGTGTGCGCATGTGGTAGTGGTCTGCGGGGCCTCGCATTCACCCATCTGTGCAGGAAGGCGTTAGCTGTTCTTTCAGCAGTGGTTTTGTAATAGCTTTATGAAATATGCTCACATTCTGTGCAGTTTTCCCATTTAAAGTGTATGCTTAAAGCTGAGGGAGGGTGAGGCAGGAGGGTCATGAGTTTGAGACCAGCTTGGACTATAGTAAGTTCTAGGCCAGCTTGGGCCACATAGCAAAAAATCAAAAAATCAAGCAAACAAAAGGCTGTGGGTGCAGCTCAAGTGGTAGAGCACCTTCCTTGGGAGTGTTAGGGCCTGAGTGCAAACCCCAGCACTGCCCAAAAAAAAGTGCAACTCAGTGGTTCTTAGTATATCAGAATATTCTTAGTATATTAACATAGTGCAACCATCATCACACTCAATTCTACAACAGTCTTACCATCTCAGAAAGAAACTTCAGAATGGGCACACCATTAAGGAAGCTGAGGCAGGGGGTTCTCCACCAGCCTGGGTTCTCCACCAGCCTGTTTTTTTTTTTTGGTGGTACTAGGGTTTGAACTCAGGGCCTCCACCTTGAGCCACTCCACCAACTTTGTTTTATGTTGGATATTTTTGAGATAAGCTTCGAGAACTATTTGCTTTAAACTGAGATCCTCCTGATCTCTGCCTCCTGAGTAGCTAGGATTACAGGTGTGAGCCACTGTTGCCACTGATGCCGAGCGAAACCCTGTATCTTTTAGCCCTGACTTCATCCCACAGCCCTGGGCAACTACTAATGTGCTTTTGGTCTAGATTTACCAGTTCTGGGTATTTCATATATATGAAGTAATAATCTGTGGGCTCTTGTGCCTGACTGCTTTTATTGAGTGTTTTCAAGGTTCATTCACAGTGAGGTGTGTGTCAGAGCTCTGTTCCTTTTTATGGGTGAGTAATATTCCGTGCATGGACCTAACTCATGTTATATAGATCTGCTCATCAGCTAGTGGGCTTTGGGTTGTTCTGCTTTTTGATTAGAATGAATAATGCTGGGTGGACATTCACACACAAGTGTTACAACCAGCACAGATGTTTTCATTTCCCTTGGGTGTTTCCCTAGGAGTGGAGTTGCTGGGTCCTGCGGTACCTGTATTTTCCATTTTTACCAGTTTCTTCTCACCCTCATTAACACTTGCTATGGTCTTTTTTTTCCTTCAGTGCTGGTGACTGAATCAGGGTTTTGAATATGCAGGACATACACTAAGCCATGTCCCCATCCCCTCTTTTTGAGATGGGGTCTCTCTTTCCCAGGCTGGTCTTGAGCTCCAGGGCTCAAACAGTTCTCTGCCTCAGCCTTCCCAGTACTGGGGCGACAGGCGCATCCGCCCGCCATAAATGGGTTACTTCATTATTAAGTTCTAGGCACTTTTGTGTATTCTGGATATACACATTGAAAACAGTTATCTCTCAGCTCATTTTTCCACTTTCTTTTTTGTTTGTTAGTTTTGAGACAGCCCAGGCTGGCCTTGAACTTTCCATCCTCCTGCCTCAGCCTCCTGAGTGATGGGATTAAAGGCATGTACTACCATGCCCTGCTCTTTTTCTTTTCTTTTCTGTGTGTGTGTTTCTTTTTAGTTTCTTTTTTTTTTTTTTGGTGGTACTGGGGTTTGAGCTCCACTGCACGCTTGCTAGGCAGGTGCTCTTACCATCAGCTCTTTTTTGTGATGGTTTTTTTCGAGATAGGGTCTTGTGAACTATTTGTCCAGGCTGGCTTTGAACTGTGATCCTCCTGACCTCTGCCTTGTGAGTTGCTGGGATTATAGGTGTGAGCCACGGGTGCCGGGCTTCTGCTCTTGCTTGTGTTTAAGAAACTATTGCCAGGATGTGAGGGCGATCTGGCTGCGACATCTGTCACCCCATTGATCGCCAGGGTTGATTCGGCTGATCTGGCTGGCTAGGCGGGTGTCCCCTTCCTCCCTCACCGCTCCATGTGCGTCCCTCCCGAAGCTGCGCGCTCGGTCGAAGAGGACGACCATCCCCGATAGAGGAGGACCGTTCTTCGGTCAAGGGTATACGAGTAGCTGCGCTCCCCTGCTAGAACCTCCAAACAAGCTCTCAAGAAACTATTGCCAAATTCAGGTTATGAGACTTACACCTATTTAAGACTTTGATCCATAGTTGCATTAATTTTTTTGCATGTTGTGAGGGAGGGGTCCAGGGGCCTTCTTGGGATCCAAAAGCTTATTTTTCAATATTTTTGTGATTTTTAAAATTTTAAATATTGAGAGGATAGATGAGTGTGGATGTGAGCCTCTCGCTAGCTGTCCTCTGGTGAAGTTTTACAGGACTTGCTGAGTGCACTACTTGTATAGTAGCCAGAGATGCTAAGCAGTCAACAGAAGTTAGGCTTTCCAACAGGGACTAGGCGAGTAAAGGAGCAAGTAGTGGGGTCAGGAACCAGATAAGGCATTAAGATTAGGTATGGTGGGTCAGCCAGGCGCCACCTTCTAGTTGCTGAGCATGTGACATGAGTGGCTCTGCCTCTGCCTGTTCTAGGGATGGGAGAGGGGTCTGTTCTCAGCGGTGTCCAGTTGAGGCCGATGAGTGGTGCTGGGGAAGAGGTTGTGTGTTGGGAGCTTGGCCACTGTCTGGGGGTCTGGGATCCTGTTTTCTGTGCACTGGCTACACACAGTCATGAGGGCCACAGCTGCTTCTGCCCGGCTCTTCATCTCTGTGCTTCCCCTCCTGGAGACAGCCACCCTGGTGGCTGTTCCACCATGTGCATCGTGGTCCCTTCAAGGAGTGTTTTCCTATTGTTATTATGATTTTGATTTTTTTGACACAGGGTCTCTTTATGAACTCAAATCCTCCTGACTAAGCCTCTCGAGGGCTGGGTGAACAGGTATGCATCACCGCGCCTGGCTCCTATTATTACTTTGAAAATTCACAGGAATAGAAGTTTTTTTGTCCTTACTAGTGTCATAAATCAGAATGAGCAGAAATGGAATTGATCAGAATTCTAGCAAACTGGAGTCATCTGCTAGTAGTTAAGGCAGTGGTTTGTTTGCATAAGAAGCAGCACGTCGAAGTTGGGTCGGGGACTTCTTGCTTCTCTAGTTCGCCATGCAAATGCTCCCCCCCATCGTGACCAATCTCATTGCGTCAGGGGTTTCTTTGAAAACATTTCTGCACTTGTACTTGGATTTGCCCAGAGAGCTGATCAGCAGACACTTCTGAGCTTCTGCCCCTAATCTCCTTACAGACGAAATCACTCCCAAATGCCTGGACATTCCTCATCGGATTACTGGGTTTCGAGCAGGGCCCTGTGAGCCACCTTCCCTCAGCCTTCAGCCCAGCCTGACTGAAAGGTGAGCACTGTGAGCTTTCCAGATTCTTTCCTCTGTATGGCAAGGTGAATCCCTCATAGCCGTGTGGGCGTGTAGGGCGAGGGACCATATTTCCTGAGAAGAAATTTCATCCTTTAAGAGCGAAGTCGAAGGCTGGGTGTGGCAGTGCCGGCCTGTGATCCCGCCACTCTGGTGGTAGAGGTGGAGGACTGTACAGGCAGCCAGGGCAAAGTTAGCTGGAAATGCCACCAAAACCAAACTAAAGCAAAAGGCTGGGGGCATGGTCAAGTGGTAGGAAGTGTGAGTTCAAACCCTAGTACTGAAGGGGAAAAAAAAGGCGGAGGGAGGGAGTGCAGAAGGTCCTGGACTTGAGGATGGAAGGCAGAATGTCGGGCCCTCAGACGCAATGTTAGAGTCATGCAGATGCACTCCCGTCTGCTGGTGGAGCTGGCTTCTAGAAAGGCCAGTGTTTTGTGTTCTTCTAGTCTTTGCTTGGTAGATCCGAAAAGTAACAGGCAAGCAGCTGCGTCCGCCTTGACTTGGGGTCCAACAGAGACCTCTGTCTTTTCCTGTGCCTTTTGCCGGGTAGAGAAACTGGAGGCAGCTGAGGTTCTGCCATGGGCAGCTCCCCAGCTAGGATTGTTAGGCAGAAGTGGGCCTGTGGCACACCCTTTAGCTTTCCTGAGGCCATGCCTCCATCTAGAGTATCTGGTCTTGCCTCACGGTGCTAAGGGAGTCATCTGCTCTTTAAAGTCCTGTCAAAGCTGATTCTGTCTGGGAACTGCTTGCCATGTTCTGGACATCTAGACGAAGTTTGAGGTGGCCCTCATACCAGGGGCGTTGTAGGGCCTCTTCCACCTGGTTTCCTTGCCCAGGTGAGGCCATCTAGGAGTCTGGGTATGCATACCCTGCTCTAGCCCTCCCTTGCAGCTTGGATGTGCACCTGAGACCTAGCAGAGCTGGCAGGGCAGCTGGGAAGGGAGACAACTAGCCAAGGCCTTTGTCCCTCCGGGATTCAAAGCTACAGGAGCTCCTGTGTGGAGCCCGACGAGGAATTGGTTGCCCTCAGCTCAGACCCTTGGCCAGACCTTTGGTTGGTGGAATTGAAACATATTTCAGTTACTTCCTGGCCTAAGTGAAATTTGATCATTGTTTCTGTGGCAAATGAGTCAGTTCTTCTCATGCAAAGGCTAGACTTTACCTTTGAAGTTGCAGATGGAATGATGTCCTCATGTCGCCTCTGTTCTCTGTAATAGATAAAACCTGTCAAGTGCTATAGAAAAAGTGACTCCTGGCTTCCAGAGCCCTGACACAGGGACAGTTGCACCTCGCTCTGTGCATATAGATGGCAAAGCACCCTCTGCTAAATGGCCTGAAACATTTATTAAATTATCAGTCGAAATTATGACAATCACTGTTGTGTTTCCAGTAAATTTTCAAAATGAAAAGTGATAAACTAAATGCAACAGGGATTTGCGGTCAGTGACATTTGGTGCTTCCATAAGCTGTTACCATGGGTCTCGCAGATGAGGGACATGGCCTTAATGAGTGAAGTGAGTGCACACCCCTCTCTTATTGTCCAGACAACGTTCTCACTTGACTTGAAGCCAAAGAGTATTTCTGTGGCGTAGTTCTGATGCCGCTGACAAATGTTAGAATTAGAACTCTGTTTTTGGAGAATGGGGGTGGGACTGGGTTTGAACTCAGAGCTTCATGCTTGCAAAGAATGCCCTTGACTGCTTAAGCCACACCTCCAGTCTGTTTTTGCTCTGATTATTTTGGAGATGGGGGTTTTAAGAACTATTTACCTAGGCTGGCCTTGAACCTCAATTCTCCTAAACTCAGCCTCCCTAGTAGCTGGGATTACAGGAATGAGCCACCAGCACCCAGCTCACATGAGCATCTTGACCCTCAGCTGTCATTCAGGTACAGTGTTGGTGAAGGACCAAGGTCCTGCAACTCCTGCCCTCCACCGTTGTGGTGTCATGTTAGCTTTAGTCAGAGCTTCTGTGGGTCTCTGTGGTGGCCCTCCCCAGTCTCCCTAACCTTGATGCTACTCTTGCAGATGTGGAAAGCCTCTGCAGGCCATGCTGTGTCCATCACCCAGGATGACGGGGGAGCCGACGACTGGGAGACAGACCCCGATTTTGTGGTAGGAATCACTACCTACCTCTCTCTGAAAGTGATTTCCTGGGTTTTGTTTGATTGGGTTGTTGGCTTGTTTGCACAGTCTGAGGTGTGGGTTTTACTCGTAACTTTTCTTTTCAGAATGACGTGAGTGAAAAGGAACAAAGATGGGGCGCCAAAACTGTGCAAGGGTCCGGGCACCAGGAACACATCAAGTAAGAGCCTTTGTGCATCTTTCAGAGCAAGATGAAGAGCGCTGTGAGGCAGGCACGCGCCTCTTGTGGCTGTGCAGGGCTGGCTGGGTCAGAGTTCCCTTTGTTTCTCCCACTGGCCTGAGGCTCATGCAGTGGGTGGACGTAGGTGTGACGTATGCATGTGTGTGTGTTGGTGCTCAGCAGTTGAAAATTCCCATTGCAGATGACCTCTATCTATCATGCTGGTGTCTGCTTGTACATGCCATGGTTTTCATCAGGCAAGCTCCTCTTCCTACATGGGGGCCTTTCTAAGCAGCGAGGCGTCTCCCAGTAGCTTAGACCCCAACCTCGCCCCTTACCTATGTGATTGTCTGGAAGCTTTGTGCATTGCAGAGCTCAGTAGTTGGGTACTGTGAGCAGAGCTTAAGATAGGAGAATGGAGCAGGCGAGTGTGTCATTGTGGCTGACGTGCACTACCTAAGGAGCTAGCTGTCCGAGCAGCTCACTTTCTGACAGGAAGTGTAGATAAAAGTGATGGCCTGTTTCAGGCTGTGCTACCTCAGGGCATGGCTCCTGTTCCTGAGGACTTGGGGAAGGCCTGCCCTGTCTCCCTCGGTCACAGTGTCTCTGCCTGAGGAATGTTTATTGTCATCCTGAGGAGGCAGGGTCTGCGTGGCTTTTCGGGAGAATTTTCTTTTTCTGTGTGTGTTTTTGAGATGGGGTCTCGCTGTTTCACAAAGGCTGGTCAAACTCCTGGGCTCACATGATCGTCTGGCATGGTGGCTTTAGACCTCAGCGTTAGTCTTTCCCTGGCCTGCTCAGTCCACACCTCCCGCAGAAGTGGCCTGAGAACGCAAAGCTATGGTGCATTGCAGAATTCAGTAGTGGTACTGCGAGCTGAATTCCAGGCGTTGGGGATAGCAGCGCATGATTGTGAGTGACGTGGCACTGTCTAAAGTGGCAGCGGCCCCGAGTCAAGTTGGTTAAGGCATTCAGCCCGCCGCTCCGCCCTTCTGTTCTGTGGCTCTGGAATGGGTGGCAGGGCACATGGTCTCCAGATTGGAATCTGAGAGGGACACATTGGTGTGGCTTGGTTCTTGACACCTCGTGGTCCCTCCCAGGTTTTAGAGCTGGTGTCTTTCCTTCCTGTGCTCATAAAGAGGCCTGGTGTGGGTGGATTTTATCCATACTCTTAGGAGTCTTTTTTTTTTTTTTTTTGCAGTGCTGGGGTTTGAACTCAGGACCTTGTGCTTTCAGGCAGGAGCCACACACTCACTCTGTTTTGCTTTGGTTATTTTTCAGATAGGGTCTCCTATTTTTGCCCAGGGCTGGCTTTGGACCTTGGTCCTCCTACTTATACCTCCTAGGTAGCTGGACTTACAGGCATGTACACTATGCCTGGATTGTTTTGCTTGGTAACTTTTGCCTAGGCTGGTCTGGAACCGTGATCCTCCCCTCTCTGCCACCCACATAGCTTGGATTACAGGCATGCACCACTATGCCTGACCTCCTGGGATAGTTGTCTGCTGGCTGTGCTGGGGTCTCTTGGTGATAACTGTTTCCTGGACTGCCAGGTTTTGACCACATCTTATGATCTGTTTTACTACCCTTGGTACTTAAAATTAAAATTGGTTTTTATTTTACTTTATTTTTTTGAGATAAGAGTCTGCTGTGAAGCCCAGGCTGGCTTTGAACTTGAGGTCCTCCTGCCTCCTGAGTTCTGGCATCATAGACCTGGCTAAAAGTAGCTTTTTAAAAAAAAAAAAAAATTTTTTTTATTATCATGTTGCTGTACCAGTGATACATTGTAACATTTACAAAAGTTCTTACAATATATTGTAAGTTGAATTCGCCCCTCCGTAAAAGTGGCTTTTAGATGGTTAATTCTGAATGTCTTTCATCTCCTCCTTGAAGGTATACAATGCTGTAGCGGTGGTTGGGTGTGGTGGTTGACAACTGTGATCTCAGCTACTTGGGAGGTGGAGATTGGGAGGATTGTGGTTCAAGGCCAGTCTGGGCAAAAAGTAAGCAAGAACCCCATCTCAACTAAATAAGCCGGGTGTGGTGCATACCTGTGATCCTAGGTACCCAAGAGGCATAGGTAGGAGGATAAAGGTCCAAGGCTGGCCCTGGACAAAAATATAAGACCCTGTCTGAAAAATAACTAGACCAAAAAGGGCTTATGGGCATGGTAGAATGCCTGCTTAGCAAGTATGAGGCCCTGATTTCAAACCCTACTCCTGACAAGAAAATAAATAAGAAAGACTAGTGTGGGGTGTGGCTCAAGTAGTAGAGCACCTACATAGTGCAAGGCCCAGAGTTCTAATCTCAGTACCACCAAAAAATACCCCCCAAAAGACTAACTCTCGATGTTCACACCACTGGGCTTCTTCTAGTGGGTGACCTTTGGGATCTAGAGGAAGGGACCTTTAGCTTTGTGTCACTCTCTGCTACTCCCTGCCTCTGGATGGCGTTCGCACCGCTTTGAAACGAGCAGCTTTTCTCCAGGTGAAGCTCAGGCTTCAGCAGGGCGGTGGCTGATCCCGCGGTGTGCATTCGGATCAGCCCTCCCATTCCCGTGTGTCTGAGCACGCAGAGGTGGACACACGAGGGGCGGAATGTCCTGGAGGGGATAGTGAAGGTGGGCAGTTTGGTGAGCACTGAATATGGAGACTTGCAGAGGGACCCTCTGCACGGTACCCTTGTTTATCCCACTGGGTGGCAAGGGTGCGCGTCTGTCTTCCTTACTTCTTCGTCTTTTCGTCCTCCCTGCCAGCATACACCAGCTGAGAGAGAATGTCTTCCAAGAACACCAGACCCTCAAGGAGAAGGAGCTTGAAACAGGGCCAAGGGCCTCCCATGGCTATGGCGGGAAGTTCGGTGTGGAACAGGACAGGATGGATAAAGTAAGTGATGAGGCTGTCCGTCCAGCTGGGCTGCTGCCCGTGGGCCGCTCTGCTCCGTTTTGGTGAGGTCGCACCTCACACTCTTCCTAGCCTCACAGTGGGGCTTGCTTTATTGAGGTGAGATTGCACACAGGGTCCTCTGTTGATGAACTCACTTCCTTTGAGCTCTCATGTTTTCTGGAACTTCTTTTGCCATCGTCAGAGGTGCTGGCGCACGACCAAAGTGTAGGCAGGCCCTGAGGGCAGATTGGTCCTGCTGCCAGCTTTGTGTGCACGATAAAGTCCAGAAGCATCCTGACCACAGATGTCCTGGTCACCACTGCCTGCGGTGCCTGCATGTGGCCTGAGTCGTACCAGTCTGCAGAGCCAAACCAGATTGATGGCTCCTTGTTCACACCCGCAAGGACATACCACAATGCCTGGCTGACATCCTGCACGCGTTTGCTGACTTCAAGGAGCACCAGGCCCCAGTACGGAGCATCAGTGCTGGGAAAGACCTGCTCCATTTAACAGCCATGGGCAAGCTCTGGTGGACAGTCATGGAGGTGCCAACTAAACACATCAACTTTGCTTTCATGGTGCTTCAAGTCCTCCCTTCTTTAGAGGAGGAAGTGGATGGGGGCTCAGGAAGGCTGGCTGGGTCCCCAGGGAGGAGGAGGAGAGCACGGCAGGGTGTTTGCATGACTCTCCAGTAAAGCAGGTCTTCCATATCATGCCAGCATTGTGTCAAGGTGAATTTCTGACTCTGAGTCACGTCCGATTACTCTGGACAGAAGTGAAAGGATCAATCGGTGTAATTCATACCTCTCTGCCTCGTGCTTGGGTCAGATTATCATCTGAGCCGGGCCCAGAGGACATGGCTGTGCCCCAGTGAGCCACTTCTCTCTGTCCATCAGCGGATTAGACTGGGGGCCAGAGAGAGCTGCAGTCTGATGAGGACCATGTGCAGGAAAGAGATGGGTGTTTGCTGTGTCACTCCCAGAGACGATGTCCTTATGCTGTAACGGGCAGCGTGGGGAGAAGAACCATCTGTGGGTTCTGAAAGAACCTTTCAGAACACCAGAGCAGGCAGGTGGCAGATCCACATGTCAGCTAGAAGCCCCCCACCCCCAACTGAGCCTGTGCTCACTGGATTTCAGCAGTTAACAGCAAAATTACACACTGGGAAATGGTAATTTATCAAGGAAAAGCTTGGTATCAGGACTTCATTTCTTGCTCCCATGCTGCTGTTGGGCCCAAGCCCATTGGCCCCAGGGTCACTCATCTGTGCACCTGCAGCTCAGGCCTGTCTAGTCTAGGAGGCCTCTGTGAAGAGCTGTGCTATCCCTCACCCTCCTGACCTCCTCCTGCTTGGCCTTGTCTTCCCCGCCTGTGTTGTCATTGCTGCAGCGTGCTGTGGTTTCAAGTGACACTGCCCTCTGATCTGGACTCTTTGAGGGCCGGCCTCCTCACCTTCACTTTGTGCCTGGTGCTGTCTGTGCAGGTGCTCGGGGGACATCTTGTGGGTTCACAGTCCATGTCTCCAGGACCTTCCACTCACTTTGGCAGGGGCTGCCCACCGATGCTCCAACAGTGGGTCCCTGGGGGCGCCATGACACAGACCGTTGGCACAGATGATTCAGGTTCCAGACCTGGGGATAAGTCACTGAGCTGTTGACTTGCCCTCTCCCAGAAACTGAAACAAAAAGGCAAGGTCCCATGTTAAGAACTGAGGAGTGTGTGATAGAGACTTCCATAATTGAGCACGTACTGAGTGAGCATGCCTCTGCGAGAAGAGCGAGGACAGCAGCCACTGGGACTCTGGTCATCCCAGTGTCTGAGCTCATTGGACCCTTCTTTGTGGGTAGAGGTAGCTGTGTACCCCCCACCTCCACTGCAGACCCCCTCCCCATCCCTCCCTGCTGTGGGTCAGGGCCCCGTTCCATGCTGACTGTCTAACTGCAAAGTGATTGCCAATATGAGGTCAAGCAATTTCGAGAACATGGTCATTCAGTCAGAAAGCTGGGGCTACAGCCAAGCTGTTACTCTAGCCACGTTTCTAGAACTGTTTTCCTGTAACTTCTTTCTGATGAAGAATTGTGCTGGGGAGCCCCTGTGGCATGGCTGCCTCCTGTTGACCCTCTTTGGACACTTGAACTCAGGGCCTCATGCTTGCTAGGCACTCTTACAGCTTGAGCCACTCCACCAGCCCTTTTCTGTGATGGTTTTTTTTGAGAAGGGGTCTTGCAAGCTATTTGTCTGGGCTGGCTTCAAACCTCGAGCCTCCTGATTTTCTGCTTCCTGAGCAGCCAGGATTATAGGCATGAGCTGCTGGTGCCTGGCTTATAGACACTTTAGGTGAGACCCTGGAGGCCAAGGGCATCCTGCCATCCAGGGTTTGGAGACTATGGCTCGGGGGCCATTGGCTGCCAACTTCAGCATGAGCCTCACAAGGAGAGAGGGCACCACAGCTCTAGAGGCTTTTCTCATTAGAAGAGGGACATGGAGGTACCTGTGGAGCACCAGTGCTGAGTGCTGCCTGGGTTCACGACCAAACCCAGCAGTTCTGCCAAGTTCTAGGCAGACCAACCAAGGGAGTTATGCGGGATGGCCAGGGTTTGGGCACTTGCAAAGTGGGATAAAGACAGGTTTAGATGAACGTGGGCCCTTTCCACACCTGCATGTGTCACCTTTCCTCACAGTGTGTGAAGAAGCCATCTGGGACGGCCACTGTGAAGAGGGGCCCTGGAGGCCTGATCCTTGCTGGGCTGAATGTGGGTAGCCACGGGGCTGGGCAGCTGTGACCACAGGGTCTGGGGAGACTCCTGGACTGGGTGGTGGAGTAACGAAAGCACCCACGGACTCCGGGCCAGTGAGCGATGTGGCTGTGTTCTGAGAGCAGCAGGGGCCAGGAGCTGGGTCTGGCCTACAGACTGGCTTACTGACCTAGGGTGGACTGTGTGCTGGAACCCTGGGCTCCTCCTACTTGCTTTGCCACTTGCTAGATGTGTGACTGGAACCTGCGTCCTCTGACAGGGCTGGCGATCCCGTGGGTGACGCTGGAATGGGCCCTGTGGGGGCAGCTTCCTGGCTCCGGTCCATGGCACAGGCATTCTGGGGATGTCGAATGTGAAGCTGCATCTTCACTGACACATTTGTGTCTGTGTCAGTGAGTTGGCAAAGTAGCCACCTTCTAATTCCTGGGCCAGCAGTCTGCATGTGACCGTCATGTCATGGATTGCTGACCTTTCTTCACTGTCGTGTTGGATGCTCCTACCTGGGGCGGGGGCAGCCCAGAGCTGGGTGCACAGTGGAACCATGCACCAGGGCTCGGCTGGCTCAGTGCTGCAGTTCCTCCCAGGAGTTAGGCATGCTGGGGTGCTCTGGTTGTGGTGTTTAAGAAAGGTCCACCTCCCTGCCCGAGGGTGGCCTGCCCTTACTCTGAACCTGGGCTGGGGCTTGATGCATGTGTTGTGGCCAGTAACGCTTGTGTCGTGCTCTGTTCTAGTCTGCTGTTGGCCACGAGTACCACTCGAACCTTTCCAAGCACTGCTCGCAGGTCGACTCTGTCCGGGGTTTTGGAGGCAAGTTTGGTGTCCAGATGGACAGAGTTGATCAGGTGAGGATGGGGGGTGGGGTAGGGGGGCAGGGGGCCCTGGACACAGTGGGGTGTGAATTCACACCACCAGACTTTTTAGTGTGAACTTGATTTACACTTGCCTTAGAAAAATTAACATGGTTTTGTTTAAAAGTTTCACCAGTATGTGCATTCAGGGCGATCGTTTTAGAGGTGTTTACCTTCTTGTTCTCTGTCACTGCAGTCGGCTGTGGGCTTCGAATACCAGGGAAAGACTGAGAAGCACGCCTCGCAGAAAGGTGAGCTGCGAGTGTGCTGTCCAGTGACACCTGCTCGCGTCTGAGGCCCCAGGTGGTCTGGAGGCAGCTACACGAAGTCTGGCCCCTGCATTGAGATGCTGCCGGCTTGTCGTGGATGCCGCCTTCCCTTTATCTGAGCTGCTCCGCCCTGATTTTGTTGGTAGAAACTACATTTGTCACGTTCTTACCGTTGTGACACGTGCATGACCCTTGATGACTCCACACTAGTCTCTGAAGCCACTGTTCCAAGGCAGACATTGTTGCTTCCTTACAGGACATTACTCTGTGTGGTTTTTGATGTGTGTTTTTATTGTTGGTGTTGGGTTTTTAACTCAGGGCCTCATGCTTGCTAGGTACTTGCTCTGTCACTTGAGCCACGCCCCAGCCCTTTCTTGCTTTTAGTTATGTTTTGGATAGGGTCTTGTGTTTTTGCCTGCGGCAGCTGCAGACTGGGATTCTCTTACCTATGCCTCCCATTTAGCTGGGATTGTAGACATGCATCACTACGCCCAGCCTTTGGTTTTTGTTTTTTTGTGTAGCTCAGGATGACCTGGAACTCCTGGTTCTCCGGCCTTTGCCTCCTGAGTGGTCATTGTGGCTTATTTTTTCTGCCTGCAAGGCAGGAAGGAGCTCTCAGTCCAGATGCAGTCACTGAGGCCTGTGCCTAGGGGAGCAGTGGGACTTGGTGAGGTTTTCAGCTGCGGGGCTCTCTCCGTCACTTGACCAGACAGTTTTCAAGTGAGCACGCATCCTCTGCCCACCAGTGCAAGAGAGCTGCCATAGTGTGTGCACGGCTGTAAGCGAGTCTGTGTCACCTGTGGGAGGGCAGGAGGCTTGAACATTTTAAAATGCTCAGTCCCTTGGGTGTTGTCGCCCAGACACTCCTCTTTTGCCTTGTTTGGCTAAAGTGGCAAGTTGAGCTTGTCACCATACTCATGTTGGCGGTCCTGTCTTCTCAGACTACTCCAGTGGCTTCGGTGGCAAATATGGTGTGCAGGCTGACCGTGTGGACAAGAGTGCAGTGGGTTTTGACTACCAGGGCAAGACCGAGAAGCACGAGTCACAGAAAGGTGCGGGGTCTCTCTCTTCTCCCTCTCCCATCTTTCTAGTTTGTTCACAAATGAGAGCATGCTGTTCTGTTTTGTTTTTGAGAAAGGGTCTCACTGTGTAGCCCAGGCTGGCCTCCCAACTCCCAGGCCTCCTGTCTCTGCTTCTGGAAAGCTGCGCTTACAGGCATGCACCACCATGCCTGGCATAAAAGTGCTGGAGAGAATTATTTTTCCTGTGCAAATTGTGTTGTGTTGGACATGCATTTTTAACTTAAAATGTTTGGTATTCTTAGCCAGGTGCTGGTGGCTCACACCTGTGATCCTAGCCACTCATGAGGCAGAGATCAGGAGAATCGCAGTTCAAAGCTAGCCTGGGCAAATAGTTCAAAGAGACCCTATCTTGAAAAAACCCAACACAAGACAGGATGGTGAAGTGGCTCAAATGGTAGAGACCAGCATAGCAAGCATGAGGCCCTGATTTCAAACCCCTGTACTGGAGAGAAAAAAAAAAAAAAAAGTTTGATATTCTTTTCATAGCTGTACACGTGAAGTTTTTTTTTTTGGTACTGGGACTTGAACTCAGGGTCTACACCTTGAGCCACTCCATCAGCCCTTTTTTGTGATGGGTTTTTCAAGATAGGGTCTCTTGCCCTGGCTGGCTTTGAACTATAGTCCTCCAGATCTCTGCCTTCTGAGTAGCCAGGATTATAGGTGTGAGCCACCAGTGCCTGGTGAAGTTTACACTTTTGATGGCTGCTCAGCTCCTGTGTCTTCATAGTCTGTCTAAGCACCCTTCAATGTAGACTTTAACTATTTCCCCCCTTTTTTTTTTTGGGCAGTACGGGACTTTGAACTCAGCCTTATCTTGATAACCTGGTAGGCAGGTGGCTCTACCACTTAAACCACGTCCCCCAACCCTGTTTATTTTTTGTATAGGGCCTCATGTTTTTTGCCCCAGCCAGTCTGGACCATGCACAGTCCTACTTACACCTCCCTCGTAGCTCGAATTAAAGGTATGTGCCACCGTGCCTAGCTATTGGTTGAGATGGGCTCGTTCAAACTTTGCCAGGGCTGGCCTTGAGCCACCATCCTCCTGATCTCTGCCTCCTGAGTAGCTAGGATTACAGCCGTGAGCCACAGCACCTGGGTGGTATTACCAATTTTTAATTGTTAATTTTTAAAATAATTAACTGCTGTCAGGACTGGGATGTGGCTCAAGTGGTAGGCTCTGAGTTCAATTTCCAGAACTGTCAAAAAAAGAAAACCCAAAACAAAAAATACCAAATCAACTTTAGTGAGTATTCTTTCTTTATCTTATACATGAGTGATTATTGAAAAGAAATGATTTCTAGAAATGGGATTGCTGAATCAAAGGATCTTGTCTACATTCTTGATAGGGTTAGGGCATTCTTGATAGTGGGTAGAGCATGTACTCTGCGTGGACATGGCCTTCGAGTAGCCTAACATTTTGGTAAATACTGCCAAATCACCCTGAGAGGCCATACTGTCTTTTTCCTGCACCTTCCATGCTTTGTTAATGACCACTTAGAGAACCTTGCTCCTGTGGTGTGTTTCCAGAGGTGGTGGGTCACCCTGAAGATCCAGCACCTGTGGACGGGGGGTGGCTCATGAGGTAGAGCGCCTGCCTAGTAAGAGTGAGGCCCTGAGTTCAAAGCCTAGAATCCCCAAAAATATAAACTGAAAAAAAGATTCCGCACTGTGATACAAAGGTCATGGCCTGTCATTTCCCCTGTACTGCTTGTTTTGTTTGTCCTGCACATTGCAGAGCTTGCATGTTTTTTAAAGTTTAAATTTTTTTTTTTTCTGGGGGGCATCGTCCCTGGGGTTTGAACTCAGGACCTCACGCTTGCTAGGTAGGTGCTCTTACCACTTGGGTCACTCCACCAGCCCTAATTTTTTTGGGTATCTGGGAGCACAGCATGACAGGTTCCCCTGATGCCAGGGCCTCCTCCATCTTTTGTCTGTCAGTGTGCGCACAGGACAGAATCATGCTTCCTAACTGGAGCTGGTTTGGATGCAACTGATGTTTCTAGAAGATGCTCTGTTGTGTGTCCTGCTCCTTGAGGGGCTCCCTGGCACAGTTCTGCTTCTGCTGGGGAAGCAGAGACCTTTGAATACACTGGCCTGTTGCCGGCTGTCTCAGGAGCTTTAGGATCACTCCTGTACTCTCAGAATGACGGAGGATGCTGAGATTATCAGCAATACTACCCACGTCACTCAGGGTGCTTACAGGGGCCTGAACGTTGTGGGGTTTTTTGTTTGTTTCTTTCTTTGTTTTTGTTCTGGTGATACTGGAGGTTGAACTCAGAGCCCAAGCTTGCTAGGCAAGCTCTCTTCCACTTGAGCTACAGCCTAGTGTGTTTGTGTTTTTAGTTTGTTTTTCAGATAGGGTCTCCTGCTTTTCCCCAGGCTGACCTCAGATTGAGATCCTCCTACTTTCACCTCCTGAATAGCTGGGATTACAGCGTGAACCTCCATACCTGGCCTATTGTTGTTGTTTTTTAACTGGAGTGATAAAAGTACTTTCTTAAAGATTGCTAAGACCCAAGCATGGTCAAGATTCTGCTGCTGGTTTGTAAATGTGCTTTTCTTTTTTCTTTTTCTTTTTTCCTTTGGTTTGAACTCAGGTCCTATACCTTGAGCCACTCCACCAGCCCTTTTTTGTGATGGGTTTTTTCGAGATAGGGTCTTGAGAACTATTTGCCTGGGCTGGCTTCGAACCCTGATCCTCCTGGCCTCTGGCTCCTGAGTAGCTGGGATTGCAGGTAGAGCCCCCATGCCTGACTCAGTAGTGCTTTTCTTGTTTCTAGATTATTCCAGAGGCTTCGGAGGCAAATTTGGAATTGACAAGGACAAAGTCGATAAAAGCGCTGTTGGCTTCGAGTACCAAGGCAAAACGGAGAAACACGAGTCCCAGAAAGGTGACTGCAGTGCCTCTCCATGTGATAGGTGTTAGCCAGAACAGACAGGAAACAGGGTGTAACCTCCGCCTCCGAAAGCGGTGCCTTTTTATTAGTGTTCAGCTTGAAGACAGAGAATCCCAAAACTGTTAAATGAGAAATTGAGAGCTTCACTTTTCTGGGCTCCCAACCCCAGCAGCGCCACTCACAGTAGTGTCCGTGTCCTGCACGTCTGCCTGTAGGTCATGGAGTGCTAGGCTAAGCCGCATGTGTGAGTGCTGCCTCTGTGGGCTGCCTGTGTTCGGTAGCTGTTCTGAGATTACAGCAACACTGTGAGGAGGGCCTCCTGCATGTCAGCCAGAGCTTTAGCAAGCTGTACAGAGAAAGGATGATTTTGTGCAGTGTGTTTACCAGTGTTGGAAGCATGTTGTCTGTCTGTGACCCAGGCTCCTGGTAACGCTAGATTATGGCCTTTTACTGTGATGTAGACTATGTGAAAGGGTTTGGAGGAAAATTTGGTGTGCAGACAGACAGACAAGACAAATGTGCCCTTGGCTGGGATCACCAGGAGAAATTGCAGCTGCACGAATCCCAAAAAGGTACATTCGCTTTGGCGGCCTCACTCGAGGCTGTTTCCTATCTCTCGATGTGTTGTGTATCTGCTGTACTTCTGTCAGTGTGTTCTTTTGTTTTCACTGTGTAAAGTTGTCCTGTGCCTTCCATAGTTTCAATATTCCTGAGTGGATAGTGACAAGGCTCCCTGCCCTTCAGGGAGGGCTTCAGCCCTAGGGCTCCAGGTGTCCTGCATTCAGGAACCACAGGCGTTACCTGTAGTATTCTTGGGGAGCCCTTGGGGTGTAGCAGGAAAGCAAGGTTCTCCTAGTCCCTGGGCTCTTGTTTATAAAGTGGGCTAAGGTTTATGGTGGGTCACACTTCTTTTTTTTTTTTTTTTTTTTTGCAGTACTAGCGTTGGGGTCCAGGGCCTTGCACGTGCTAGACAGGTGTCCCTCTAAGCCACATTCCCAGCCCCCAGCACACTTCCTAACTGAGTGTTTCCTGTCTGAACAGGAACCCTGTCCTAGGGAAACGAGCCTGTCCTAGCTGAGCCAGGGTCGGGTGCCCTTCCTCTGGTGCAGCAGGGAGAATGTGGGTGACCCTTGTATCGATATCTCCCTTTCTTCACATGCAGAGGCATGTTCTCTTGGGGAGGGGGTGGACCTCAAACAACATGGAGTGGTCTTCCTGAACTCTGGGCATCCAGGCCCCGGCTGAAGAGTGCTGGTGCTGTGCGACCCTTAACCTCTTGGTGACCCTTGACCTCTCGAGCCAGCTTTAGACCGCCAGGCCTCTCGCATGTAGAGCCCTTGCTGTGTCGAAGCCCTCGCTTGTGTGATGCTAACCTGACCTGTGTTTCCTCTCCGTCTGTCCCTCCATTGTGGATTTCCAGATTATAAGACTGGTTTCGGAGGCAAATTTGGTGTTCAGTCCGAGCGGCAGGATCCCTCCGCTGTGGGGTTTGATTACAAGGAGAGGCTGGCCAAACACGAGTCCCAGCAAGGCACAGTTGTCCCCATCCCCTTCCCACGCCCCGCCTCCCCTCCCCTACCTCTCCCCGCCTCCCCTTGCAGTGCAGCCACTTGTAGCCAGGCTTCAGGTTCACCGCCAGTGCCTGTGATAGTCTCCCACCTACGTCACCAGCCGTCCGCCGGCAGGGCCCAGTGACCATCCTCCACTGCTTCTATGCTGGAGCCACATTCACGTGGAATGGGGTCCCTGCTCTCCCGTTACCTTTTTTCCCTTTGAACATCAAGATTTGTGTCGGGAAGAATGCAGCAGTCAGTTTGCAGGTTACATCACTCACCCCTAGTGTGTCTTATTTCTGGAATGGGCTGTCGGGCTCTCCCAGCAGCCTTCTGCACAAGCTTGTGTGCTGTTGACCATGACTGCTCCGAGTTACGGAGCCTTGTTGCTTCTGCGATGAGGGGGGATGGGCTTGGTTCCACCAAAGCCCTGACCTCTAGGCCAGGGACTCAGGCAGTGAGGGGTGGACAGGCGCGTTGCATGTGGTCTGTGTTTCATTTGTGGTGGTGTCTCTTGACCACGCATGGGAGGTTTTGTCTGTCTGTCTTGTGTTGTCAACGACACCACCCATGTGTGGTACCTCCCCGCAGAGCCACAGTGTCCACATAAAGCCACAGTGCACACAGCTGAAGAGAGACACTGGGTATGCACCAGGAGCCAGAATAGCTGACACAGTTTTCCTTAGAGCAGTTCAGAGTTGGGACCTGGGTCATAACCTGGGTGCACAAGTGGAGAGGCTTGACCCCTCAGTGTGAGGGAGAGACTGCAGCAGTGTATAGTCCGGGTGGCAGGCACACTTGAGTTAGCCTGCAGACTGTAGGGAGGTGGTCACTGGTTCCTGTGGTGCTGAGACCACATGACAGTGACTTTCAAGTGGGTATATGTTGCTGCAGCAGACGGACCTGGCTGGCAGTTTCCACATGGAGTTTCTTTTTCTTTTAAAAAGCAAGAGAACAAACTGCAGTTGAGCCTCTATTTAGTGCTCAGTCAAGCAGGCGCACAGGACACAGATGAGAATAGTGCCCGCGGCTGGTGCGGAAGACTGTGCTATTGAAGTGGCGCGTTGCAAAGGCCTGTCCTGTGTCCTCTCTCCACTGTTTCCTGCCAGCCTGCCACCCATCCCCTCCCTACCTCACCCCTCCCCCAGGAGAATGCTGGAAGCATGCCCCCTCCTCTGTCCTCCCTGCCTTGCACTGGACACCGTGGTTAGACACCAAACTTGCCTGGCCAGGAAACCCCATCCTTGGTAGTTCCCGCGACCTTTGCTGTGGGTGCATTTCCCTGGGCTGTTTCTGGACCTGTCTGCATGCGCCTGCTGTGTGGCCTGTCCTTGACCACACAGTAAGTCTCATGTGTTGCCACCTTTCAGATTACTCCAAAGGATTCGGCGGAAAGTTCGGGGTGCAGAAGGATCGGATGGATAAGGTAAGGCTCTCAGACCCCAGGGTTTAGCTCTGCTGGCAGGTTCAGGAGTGTCTGCGGCTCTTTGTTGTCCTTCAGCGGGCGCTGTCTGGGTGCTGTGGTCTGCCTGGTGAGGTCAGGCATGTGTCCTTACCATGTTGATAACTGAGATGGCCTCGTGCCCCTTGTGCACGAGGGGTGGTGGGTGGGTGCCGCTCTCGCCGTCCCTTTACAGCCAGGTCCCTAGGCTAGGCGGGCTCAGTGCTAAGGGCCTGGGCTGCCTCCCCGGAACCCACACAATGAATACAAGAGCCTCTGGGGACGTGCGGCTCTTTTGAACTTCAGTTACTAAATCAGGTCAGCTTGGAAATTGAGTCCATTAGCTACTTTAGAAGAGCTCAGTGGCTGTATGTGGTCACTGGTTGCCATCTTGGATAGAGCAGAGCTGGACCTTTAGTGTCACTGCAGGTGACCCCTGACCTGTCCTTGTTTGTTTGAGATAGGGTCTTGCTGGGTTGCTCAGGCAGTCTCCCTGCCTCAGCCTACCAAGTGCTGGGATCACAGGCGTGGCCGCCATGCCTGATGGTCTGTTCTCTTGACTGCTGAAGGACACTGATGGAAATAGTCCTCCCCTTACAGGAGTTCCTTCATTGGCCTTTGGCTACTTTTGTTGATTTCTAAGCCTCGCAGTGTCAGTGTTGAAGTGACCGCTCTTCAAGGCTAGAGCCCAGGTGTCCAGTGTTAGTTCATTAGACTACCTGGGTCACCCCACTGCCAGGGTGGGACGAGTTCAGCTGCTCGTAGGCTCAGCACCCCTCCTTCCACCCGTCCTGTGCTCGGCTGTGGTCCTCACAGACTTCTGCTCTACTGAGTGTACCGCTGAGCACAGACGGCCTCACTTGGGTGTCAGGGCTCCAAGCTGGAGGGCTCTGAGAGTGATGGCAGAGCAGGTGACTTGGGCTGAGGAGAGACTGAAAAGCCATAACCTCAGCTCTGTTCACCTGCACACATGGGTCAGGAGACTGCATAGCAGTAGTATGGCTGTGTCCTGTTGTGGGGACAAGGTCATTGCAGAGAAAAGGCAGAGCAGAGAGGAGCCCCACAGACAGTGTGAGGTCCACCAAATGGACTCGCGCGTCCCTTGAGGCCTGATGGGAGTCTGCACCAAGAAGCCCTTGGTCACATCGTGGACACTGGATTGAGGGGGTGAGCTGTGAGGAGGCAGCTGCGGTGGTCTGCATGAGGTGGTGGCTTCTGCCAGATGCAGGTGCAGAGTGGGGTCAGGTGCAAAGCTGGCCTGAGTGCAGGTGCAAGTGAAGAACAGCAGACTGGATTTAGGTGCAGAGTGGGGATAGGGTTTGGCTTCAGGAGTATGGAGGAGGAAGTGTTAGGATGGCACTAACACTTAGTGTTAGCTGGCCTGGAGAATTGGGATGGAGCAGAGAAGGGTGAGTTTGTGTGTGGCCACAGTGGAAAGACAGGTGAGGACAGCTGGTGGGAACAGCTGAGGAGCATGCAGTGAGAAGGGGGTGGCCAGAGCTGTCCTGATGGGATGGCAGTGGTTAGTGCTGTCAGAGGAGACAGGACAAGGGATCGGGATGGGAGGAGGCAAGAAGTGAACAGATAAGTCAGAGGTTGTGGCTTTGAGGTAGGGCATGGAAGTACTGTCTTGTGGTGTCTGTGGTCAGTGTTGATGGTCATGATAGTGACCACTGACCTTTACATACTGGGAAAGGAAGTAGATGAGGTTGACCACTGTCTCATTCAGCCCTGTGAGCGAGGCATGGAAACTCTCAGTTGATTGTGCTGTGGAGGAGCCCAGAGCTCAGAAAGGTGAGGGGAATGCCCAGGGCCCCAGGACCCCGTGGGGTGAGATTGGGATGCAAGTTATTCTATGAGGCCATGCCTGAGAGGACAGGTCTGCAGTGGTCTGTCCCTGTAGCGGTGGAGATCTGCGTGAGGCTGAGGACCTTGTGTTTGCCAAGGTGCCAGCCTGTTCTATCCCTAAGAGAAGGAAGGCTCCTTCAAAGTGGCCTTGGGCAGGCATGAGTGACCCAGGACAAGAGTGTCTGTCCTGCTGGACTTTGGAGCTAGGCTGGATCTAGCGGAGGGAGCTGGAGGGAGGTTGAAGTGGGGAGGAAGGAACAGGTCCAAGGGGAGGAGACCCAGGGAGGTGGCAGTGGGAGAAGCAGGAGGCTGTGGTCAGTAAGCTGGTCCTGGGCTGGGGTGTGACTCAGTGCTCAGCCGGGGCTACTCTGGCTTTGATTCCAGGTGCTACAAAGTGAAAAAATACAAAACAAAGTGTTGGTGTTGGAGGTTGTGAGGAAGGCAGGGTGCAGTGTGGCGAGGACAGCCTGACAGTGGGGCAGGTGGGGAGTGCAGAGGTGTGGGCATGGAGGCCAGGTCCCCAAGAGAGAACACACGTGATCTCCTCCGGAAGCAGAGGGAGGAACTGGGGACTGTTGTCCCTCCCACCCCCAGGCTGTAGAACAGGTGGGAGCCTCAGGGACAGCTGAGTAGGAATTACTTGGGGAGAGGTGGCAGACATGGGGTAGATTTTAGTAGCCGTGTGTCTAGGAAGAGGGAAAGGATTTGGTAAGGGTGTCTGAGCAACCCAAGTCCTAAGCTAGGCAGAGATGGGCCCCATGAGCTGCAATGGGTGGCAGCCCCGCTGGCTGGCTGTGTTGAGGAGGAGAATGACTGGGTGGTGGGGAGGGCGGAGCTGATCATGGGTCCACCTGCTAGCACCTGGAACACCCTGGGCCCATGTCTGAGGGCAGTGCAGCTTCACTTGCTATGGATGTTCCCTGACTTCCCTTGGTTGCCCTCCTTGTTAGATGCCCTCTTCTAGTGTGAAGTGTCAGGAAGCAGTGAGTGAGCCCATTCTCTGGGTTTCTGTCAGAAGCCTGGAGCTCATGATGAAGCTGAGGGTGACTGTTGGCTTCCAAAAGCCCTGCCAGCCTCTACCTGTGTCACCTGGAGGGCTTATGGGCACTGACCATCAATGCACAGAGTTGAGGGAAGGGTGTAACCATGCTTGCTGAGAGAGGGGGAGGGCTTAAGGAAGAGAATGTGTTTGTCTCCGGTAAACTCATGGTCAGCAGCGAGTGTGTGTGGAAATGGGGCCAGGCCTCTGTCAATCGGCTGAATGCAGGGAGGAGAGGACAGCTGCAGTCTGGGGCTTCAGGAAGCTCTATGAAACCCTTGATGTTTGACCAAGCAGGAGCCACTGAGTACGTGGAGGCCGAGAAGAGCCCTCTCCTCACTCCTTTTCTGTCTCTGCAGAATGCATCCACCTTTGAGGATGTCTCCCAGGTGTCCTCTGCCTACCAGAAGACTGTCCCTGTCGAGGCTGGTGAGTCTTGGTCTCCCCAGAAACCTGAGATGAACTGGAAGGGAGAAAGTCCGTGTGTAGGATCCTGGGAAGATGCTGAGGGAAAGGCCTGCTCAGGGAACGGAGCCAGGAGCACGGGGACATAAATGGACAGCTAGGAACCTGCTAGGAATTTGGGAAAAGCAGCTAATACCTAGTGGTATCTTTGCTCCTGCACAGGCTAAGGGGGGCTTCAGACATAGTGGGAGTGGGTTCTGAGGGGCACTTCCCAAGATAGAGTGGGTTAACTTCATGTCCCTGTACTGCTGTGCCCAGGTTCTGGGAGCAGCTCACACATGTCCACTGCCTGTGAGCTCAGGCTTTGGCTACCATTGGAGGAAGGGATTGTGTAGAAGTAGGGCCCGGTTCTCACCGTGGACATGGTGCCCGTGTCTGCTGGGTGACCAGTAGAATGAGACGTGGGCCTTCCTGTGCAGAGAACAAGGCTTGGGTGGAGAGAATAGTTTGTGTGATAGGAAGTGCCAAATCAGAACAGAGAGCAGTCACCACTGCTCACCGCAGATACCCTGGATCCAATTTCTGTGCGGTCCAGGACACTGGCACTCATGGAAATTTTTGAGGGCCCCTCACAGAGCCTCCGTGAGCATCCATCTGCTGTGTTACAGAGTGAAATAGAAGAAAATTCTAGACTAACTCATTTAAACATGACAACACTGCTCTGCGGACACAGCACTGTTCATGGAAAATCGCCAGAGGTTTTAAAGCCGAGGGAGATGTGAGAAGTTTTGTCTCTCTGTGCTGGGAGACAGCGGGCTTCTCACAGATGTTTCTCCTCCAGTCCTCTGTAGCAGGCTGGGGCTGTTCCCTCACTGTCCGAGGCAGGTGGAGGGGAGGGTCTCTGAGCAGCCTTTCAGTCACATCATGGAGGGTGTGCTTTGATGGTCCACCCAGCTTCTCTGTGCTTGGGGGAGCTCTGTCACCTAGCGCCGAGCCACTGGCACGTTTTTTGAGTCGTGTTCCTTTTCCAACTGTGTATCCCTTCTATTGTGCAATACAAAAAATGCCACGTGTTGCTAGTGTCCATCTCATCAGCAAAGTTTTTTTTTTTTTTGGTGGTAGGACTGGGGTTTGAACTTAGGGCTTCGTGCTTACAAAGTAGGCTCTCTGCCACTTGAGCCATACCTGCAGTCCATTTTACTGTGGTTAATTTTGAGATGGGGACTTATGAACTGTTTTCCCGGGCTGGCCTCTGAAGTAGCTAGGATTATAGGCACCTGGTATCATCAGCAAAGTCTTTTAAATGACAGTGCTTATGGTGGCAGGTACAAATTTTCTCAAACCCTGATTTTTTTTTTTTTTTTTTGCTTGTAAACTGCAGTTCTCCCACTGGCAGCAAACACAGCAGTGCGTTTTCTTCATAGGATGGGCTTAAGTTCATTTCTGGCAGAAATGTCTGCCAGATGCCTGAATCTGAATACCTGTGGTTTGCCTGCCTCTTATGTTGGGGAACAGATGGTGTTCCATGAAAACACAGCTCACTGTGGAACACCGTGGCTCATGTTCCTCACATGCAACCCAGTGGTGCACAGAGCCTGTCCTGACAGCCTAGTGGTGCTCTATATCTTCTCCATTTTTGTCACAAAAATTCAAAAGATGTGTACTCAAGGGTTGAGATTTACTGAGAATCAATTCTCGTTTCTTTGTTCCCAAGGACAGACCTTCATCGTTAAGTGGGTTGACTGCTGCTTTATGCTTTCAGCCTGAGAGTGGTGTAGAGCACGATGGTGCCAAGGTTAAAAGTGCTGTAGTCACCAGGCTGTGGGTGCCCATCAGCCCCACCTGGGCATGGTGCACCAGGGGGCTGTACCTCCTCAGGTGACGGGAGTGGTGGCCCTAACTGGGAAGGTCACCTTAGTGTGACTTTTGTCCTGGGGTGGTATTCTGAGTTATATGTCCTCTCTCCTCTAGTGACCAGCAAAACCAGTAATATCCGAGCCAACTTTGAAAACCTTGCCAAGGAGAGAGAACAGGAAGACCGGCGGAAGGCGGAAGCAGAGAGAGCTCAGCGGATGGCCAAGGAGAGACAGGAGCAGGAGGAGGCCAGAAGGAAGCTGGAGGTAAGAAGCTGCCACTGCCACGCTTGTGGGACATGGTATGTGCAAAGTATTGGGAGCTTCTACACCATGGTTTGGGCTCAGCCACATATATGTATCTTCATGTGGTGGCCAGAGGTGGCCAGTCCTAACCTTGCTTGCTGCCTCCCTTCTACCCAGCTAGATTTGGGAGGGGCCCGAGTGGAGCCCAGGCCTGCACTTGGGTGTGAATTCAAGCCTAACTCAGCAGGCCTGCCTGCGGGCACACACAGGACACTGCCTTAGCAGACCTGGTGCTGTGGGGCAGGTGAGCCACACAGATGCTAAGACTGTGCTAAGGACCTCTGGGGCTGGGGATGGTTTCTCTTCAACAGGACAGGACAGGATTACAGTCATACCATTAGATGGGGCAGGGGAAGGAATAGTGTGGTCCAGATTCTGTGTCTGCAGTGGGCCGTGTGTCCCTGAGCACCTACCATCAGGATGTGCAGCCTGTCACGTGATTCCCATGCCTGCTATTTCACATTGCTCCCGCTCAGTGGTTTAGGACAACGCGTGTTTGTTATACTAGGTCCTGGAAGCAAGGGCCCAAAGGCTCAGCTGGCTGTACTCTCTGGAGGCTAGAGGGAGCTCCATTGCCCTGCCTTTCCCAGCTTCCTTGTTCTGTTCCTTGGCTCGGCACCCCTTCACACTGCTCCCCTCTGTGTTCATCACACCTCCTAGCTCACTCTTCATTCCTATCTCCCTCATCAGGACCTTGGGGTGACATGGGCTACCAGGTGACCTGGACAAGTCTCCCCATCAAAGACTCCTTCAGTCCCACAAATCTGCAGAGTTTCTTTCCGAGTGTGTGGTCACAGCAGTTGGGGGGGGGGGCAGCTTTGTGGAGCATTGTTCTGTCTATGACAGAACAACTGTTGGCCCCAGAGATTTGTGTCTGGCCCATATGCAAAATATGTATTCAGGGCCCTTTCAGCCATGACCACATGTGACTGAGCCCAAGTCACATTGTATGAGTCATCTCAGGGAGGCGAGAGTGAGACTGGGGGCTCCATGACAGCTCTGGGCCTCTGCATGGCACCTCTGTCCGCTACCCAGCTGTGTGGATCTTCCGGCCCCCAAGGCCCTCCTTGAGAATGCTTGACTTACTGTATGAAAACAGCTGACCCTTCCATCAGCCTGTGCTTCCTGCTTGGCCGCCATCCCCTTCTGACTTGCTGTCTTTTGAGGCAGACCTGGTAACTTTGTCATTGCTGTTTTTCATTGTAGGAGCAAGCCAGAGCCAAAAGGCAAACACCCCCTGCGTCCCCCACTCCCCAGCAAGCTGAGGAGAGACCACCCTCCAGCCCCATCTACCAGGTTAGTGTTTGGTGTGGTGTGTGAGGGTCTGACTCCCTGCCCAAGACCATGTCTCCTTAGCTTCCCCAGGCAATGTCAGGTGGAAGTTGTCATGCTGCTCTGTCTGTGTCTACCTGCATGGGACACAGTGGAGTCTTGGGCCACTTCCCCTCCTGGCCATCCTCCCATCCTCCCTCACCTCTTGGCAGTCCACCACCGTGTAGCCAAGTTCTCCTAGGACATGCTGGCCTTGTCTCCTTGCTCTGCACTGCCTGAGTGTCCACGCTGTCTTCTGAACCCCATCCTCCCTTGGCCCCAACACTCTGCTCCCCTGATTTCACTTCTGTGCCTCCTGCTGCTCAATTCTCCCCAACTCCCTTGAATGTCATGTTCTCTGGTCCTTTCCCCTATGTGTTGTCACTGATGCCTTGGGAACCCTCCCATGTGTCCCAGGGTTCTCACTTTGGTTCTGAATTGTTGTACTGCCTTTCTGATGTTCCTGTACTCTGGGCTGCGGCTCCCCTCCCATGTGAGCTCCTTTGGCCCTGACCGCAGCCTGTCTTCAGCCCCACAGTTGCTGTCCTGGGCCACATGGTCTGTTATCTACGTATCACTTTTAAGTCTGTGAGTTGTAAGGGATGAAAATTCAAGTCACAGGGTATTTGATGGGCCCTGGGAGCGCAATGAAGATGGACAGTGGCCAGGGCTCAAGCAGGCCATGGTCTCATCACTACCACAGGGGTACTGCTGTGTCCCCTGTGTGTTGGCTTTTCCCTGGCAGACGTTCCTGGGCAGATGTGGTGGGTGGCCTTGTAGCTGGGAACCTAACAAAAGAGTGGCCGTAAGCTGTTCCCAAACAGCTACGGTCTCCTGCTGGGCAGGTGTGGAGAAGCTAAACCTTTGCTGGTGAGACTGATGACACGCTGGCGAGGGGGTGGGGGTCAGGAGATCGGTAGCACTGCTGGGACCACGAGATGGAGCAGGGCCCACCCGGCATGGGGTTGCCATACCATGAACTGGCTGCCAGCCCTGCACTGTCCCCTTGGTGCCAGGGCATCTTGCCAGAAGAGACCTCTGCCCTGCCGTTCTCTTGTGGTTGAACCCTTTTGTGGCCCATTTCCAGTCCTGGAGGTGAGTGCTGTCATTGGCCTGCTGGCGGCTCTCCCTGCCTGGCTGCCCTCTGCAGGAAGCTGGATCCTTCCACCACCTTGCTAGGTGCACAGTTCCTGGCCTTGCTTGGCTTTGTTTGGCCACAGGGCTCTGGGAGGCCTGGTCAGAAACCTTGATCAGACCCCTCTGATGGCATGCAGTGGTTCAAAAGGCCCAGCAGCTTGAGATTAGCTTAATAAGGCGGTGGTCATCTTCTGAGGACCTCTGTTCCAGAATGGAATTCTGGGGTAGCTACCTTCCACACCATGGCGAAGGGTTTGTTAGAACGGAACCCTGTTGTCTACTGGTGTAGCTTCTCTGGGCAGTTGGGCTGGGGTAAGTGGGAAGCTGCTGCCAGATGGGAGGACTGGCTCTGTGGAAGGCCTCGTGTAGCCTCAGAGACCACAGGCCCAAAAGAAACCAGCCAAATGCAACCCAGGACGGACCGACTCGAACTCTGGGAGCTCAGTGTGGGGAGGCATGCGAACTTCAGTGCAGGACTTGGGAATGTTGTGGGGTGAGGATTGGGCCACCCAGAGGCCACATGTGACAGCACTACCTCACCAGGCATGTGGGTGGTGCCTTCTCCACTTGTATGTTTCTTGGGCCTGACTGGGGCTGAGAAATGAGTATTCTGCGTGTTCCTGCCAGTGGCACAATGTAGCAATGATGTTTTAGAAGCCAGAGCAGGCCATGGCACATGACCATTTGCTCCTTCCCAGGACGCAGTCCCATTCAGGGCAGAACCAAGCTACCGAGGCCCCATGGGCGGGAGTGAGCCTGAGCCTGCCTACAGCTCCAAGGCTGAAGACATCCTGGAGGCCGGCAGCCAGCAGGAACTGGCCTATACCCCAGAGGCTGTCTACGAAAGCACAGAGGCCCCAGGCCACTACCAAGCAGGTAGCGCCTCCACTCCAGCACTCTGACGGGGCTGGAGGGTGCAGGGTGTAGGAGGGCCCCTTAGAAATCCCACCCACCTTTATTACCCCAAAAGAGTGCTTATTCCCTGTCCACTGGGGTGTGTGCTCCCCCTTGCCCTGCTGGGGAACACTTGACATAGTGATCCCAGCCAGATTGTGTCCCCAGTCCTGGTCCTGGGAAGGTCTGTGCTATGCTGAGGACAGTCAGGGCAGGGATGGGGAGGGGTTCTGCCACCATGGTGAGTCCTCTAATGACATAGAGCTTCTGCCTGCCGCAGGACAACCTTCAAGGTGCAGTCTTTCCATCTCTGAGGGCGTGCAGGGACACTGAAGCTGCCTGGCTTTGTTCTGGAAATAAAGCCCCATAGGTAGTAGGTGGTCTCATTTCAATCCCACCTTGAGCAGTGTTGGAATTGGGATGGCAGAGGAGCCACTCTTGACTAGAGGATGTGTCGGGTGAAGCCTCTTACCAGCGTCTCATTGCTCTGTCATTCCTCCATTCACTGCAGAGGCACCTGGCCTTTCCTGGAAATGCTAAATACTCTGTTGTAAAAGTTACACTGAGAGGGTCCTGGTGCCTGTCCGATAGTCAGGCCTCCTGCAGGCTATCAGACTGGGGAGTCGGGACTTGCTCTCCAAAGCTGGCGTCCTTTTCTTCTGTTTCTGTAAGGCATCTAATTTCCTGTCATTCTGACACCTGCCAAATGGGAAGCCACCTGTCACTGAGGTCTTTCCCAGCAGACCCACAGCTCAGTGTCATAGGGAGCGTGTTGTGGGTCTGTGTTGTTGCTTAGCTCTTCTTGGCTTTGCTTTCAGAGGAAAACACCTACGACGAGTATGAGAACGACCTGGGGATCACGGCTATTGCCCTCTACGACTACCAGGCTGGTGAGATGCTGCCCCGGGCTGGGCACCAGTTCCTTCTGCCTTGGGCCCTGTCTAGCAAGTCCTCCTGAAGATCTGACCTCAACTTCTGTCTGGGACTGCTGTGTTGCCCAGACTGGCCTCAAACTTTGGGCTAACTCTCCTCCTGCCCCAGCCTCAGTGTTAGTGTGCTCTAGGATTACAGGCACGAGTCACTGTGCCTGGCTTTGTATGCAGTTTTTTTTTCAGCACTGGGTGTTGGACTCACGGTCTTACGCTTAAAACAATTTTGCAGTAATATTAGAAAAGTTGTAAGTGTGGTGCTAAGAATGCCCCTGTCTCCTTCACCAGATTCTGTTCTTGTTTTTTGTTTTTTTGTTTTGGTAGCACTGGGGTTTGAACTCAGGGTCTCATGCTTGCTGGGCAGGCGCTCTTCCTGTTTGAACCATTCAGCAAGTTCTGTTTTATGGGGCTTTTTTTTTTTTTGGTGGTACTGAACTCAAGGCCTCATGCTTGTAGACAGGTGCTCTACCACTTGAGCCATTCCACCAGCCCCTCTTCACATTCTGTTCATCTGCACACACTTCATTATCTCTAGCCTTTCTCTGAATCCTTGGGGAGCTGTAGGGCCCATTTTCCTAGACTTTAGTGCATCTCCCCAGGCCAGGGCCAGGGCCAGGGCCCCACAGCAATGTGCCACACCCTCTCAGTGAGGATGTCACACACACAGCACCACCACAGTTCCCTTTGGTCAGGTGGGGGCCAGGTCCTGGGCTGCCCTCAGCCACTGTCCTGGATATCCTAGAGATAGGCAGATGTCCTGCTCTTGTGGCCTCCTGGCCATGGAAATCATGCAGCACTTCCTTGTGCCTCATATCAGCCACACAGCATCTGTCTCATCACTGTGGCATTAAGTGCCACCAGCTGCTCCAGAGCCTTCACACCTCCCTTAGAGACTGATGAGTATTTTATGGGACGCCAAGGGGGTCCTCTCCAAGGTACTCAGTTTGCTCTGACAGAGGGGTTTCCCAGTTCTTCCTTTTTTTTAACTTATCATTAGCATATATTAGTTGGGGGGGGGCTGTCATTGTGGCATTTATGTATGTGCTTATAATATGTCTTATTTATATTCATTGCCATCATCATCCTCTCTTACCCCCTCTGTCCTTCTGAACTGGGAAGCTGGTGTCTGCCAGGAAGACACCTCTTTCTCCTGCCCTTATATGTGGGTTCTGGGGCATTGTGGAAGCTCTGTATTGTGTATGTTTTCAATAATGCTGAGTTTATCCTGTTACGTCCATCCCAGCCCATCACCCTGGCTTCGTTCTATACTTCCTCTTGCTTCCACCTCCACATCTACTTGTCCTTGTGGCTGGAGAGCAATTTTCTCCCCTCCTCCCTGCAGGGAAGGTGAGAGGGGAGCGGAATTGCTATGAGGAAACCCGTTTCAGGAAGAAGTGCGTCTGGTTTTGTTGAGGGACTCTGCCCTGGCTGAAGGGAGGACAGTGGTCCCTCCACCCCCCACACGCAACGTGGTCTTGTGCTGTCCCTCCAGCTGGCCTGGAACCGTGTGTATCTGACTCTGCGCTCTCTGTCTCCCTAGCGGGCGATGATGAAATCTCCTTTGACCCTGATGACATCATCACCAACATTGAGATGATCGACGATGGCTGGTGGCGCGGGGTGTGCAAGGGCAGGTATGGGCTCTTCCCAGCCAACTACGTGGAGCTGCGGCAGTAGGTGGCTGGCCGAGCCACGGCGCATTCACACTACAGATGAGATCAGCTCAGATCATGCCTTCGCTGGTTTGGGGTTTGTTTTTCTTTTGTTTCTTTCTGAGGGGGGAGGGGAATACATACTGCTTTTATATTTAATACTTTTGCTGATGCTTTTGAACATGTCTATGCCACAGAATTTGCTAATATATTGTAGTTGTGTTCCTTCCTGGGACTTGGGTAATTATTTTTAGCCATCGAAGGTATTTTCTTTTTCTGCAAAATTGACTCACGTGCAGCCACTTCAGGGGCCTGTGGCTCTCCTGAGGTCAGTAGTGCATGTGTCCCTATGTCCATCATGACAGCGGGGTCCCTTCAGGACTGGCTGAGAGCATCACAGCTGTGTCTGTGGCCCCAATCTTGGCCATGGGGTGTCAGGCCGGCCTGGCTGCCCCAGGTGAGGTGGCCGTCTGGAGTCCAGCAGAAGAGGACGGGGCCTGATAAAGTCAGAATGCAAGTAAACCTCCGGAGAGGACAGTAGCTCTGCCGTCAGATGGAAAACCCCAGTCTCCATGCTGTGAGCTGCAGTGTCTGACAACTTTGAGCTAGGACCCCTCGCTCTCTGCCGTGCCGCCTCTTATCTTGTCCTTGTCTCACCACCTGCCCTCACGCCCCAGTCTCCTGTTGAACCTCTCCTCCTGTTCTGCTGTGAAGGGCCGCCGACTTCTTACTGTCCCCCCTCATCTCAGTTCCGGGCCCGCGGCGAAAGGCTCTGTCATGGTGATGCCCCTGATGCTCGTGCTGGGCTTGGCCTGCCAGTGCAGCTTGGGCATAGCCACCATCATTTTGGATGGCTTGGCCCACGCAACCTGGTGTGGTGGTGTGTATGTTGTGGCCACATGGCCTCTTGGCTGCGGGGAAGCAGGTGCTTTTGGGGCGCACTGCAGAAGCAAGCTTCACCAGGGGAGCCGTGCTGTTCAGGCAAAATACGATCTGTCAGACTAAGGTTCAGCCGGCTGACTTGGCTGAACTATAGCGTGAACAAGCCACCCCGCTCCAGGGAGCCACCTTAGCTCCTCTTGGAGTGGCCGTCTGGCCTGCCTGACTCACGTGGGGTCACGTATGTCCTCCTGAGACACCAGGAGGCTGGACCAGTCCACCATGCAATTGGGCAGACAGCATGTCCTTCAAACAGATCTTGGGTGTCTGGTTGGGGTGCAAGAAGCCTCCTCTCGCCAGGGCACTTCCGCATAGTCTTGCTTCCCAGCTTTAGCTCATGTTTTATATTCAACTTAGTGTATCTGAATTTCTGTAGCTCACTTCATAGATGTGATTTTTTTAAATTAAATGTTCAGAATAAAATTTGTTTTGATTCATTGTTTCCTTTGCTGCTGGGTCCCTTTGTTCTGCAGGTGAAGGTTCCTGGATGGTCTTGTTACACACCTCATGCCAGTCTGCTGTGGCTCCGGCCAGCCACATGGTCCATAATGGGCTGGGCTCCTCCCCTAAGAGGCTTCCTACAAGCTGAGTTGTACTCTCAGGTTACCGGGTTTGGGGACAAGGATTCCAGGTAAAATAGGAAATGCCACATTTAAAACTCGTTCCTGAGTTACAACTCTGAAAGAATCGTCAGGTGGATGCACTGCGGCTGACAGTTTGTCTCTCTTCTGGGCACAGCAAGTTACTGTCAGAAGAAGCAGCAGTCCTGGGCAGAGCCAGCTTGGCAAGGAAGCAATCTGGGGATGAGAGGCCACCAGAGGCGGCTGCAAGCTGCCTGCCACCTACGGTGTGGTTTGGTGGTGGCAGGGGCCTCTGGGTGACTGAGACCATGTGGCAGAATGAGAGACTGGCTCTTGCCACCCTGTGGGAATGGGAGACTCTGCAGATCATACTCGCCCTGTTGGTGTGTTCTTCCCACTGCAGGCAGGAGGTCCTGACAAGGACAGATTCAGGATCCCAAGGCCCAGCTGTGGTCGCTTCTCTTCCTGCCTTTTTTTGGTGGGGTTTTGAACTCTGTCTCACAGTTGCTAGGCAGGCACTGTACTACTTGGACCACTCCACTTGCTTTTTTTGTGTTGGGTATTTTTGAGATAATCACCCTTTTTTTTTTTTTTTTTTTTCTTCTTTGCCTGGGCTGGCCTCAAATTGCAATCCTTCTTATCTCTGCCTCCTAAGTAGCTAGGATTACAGGCGTGAGCCACCAGTGCCTGGCTGTCAACTATCTTGATAAGTTCTGGCCCATGCCATGCTGGCCCTCTGCAGCTAGGACCCTATGCTGGTGACCATTCTCCCCAGCCCCAGGGGCCCTGGCATCCTCCCAGTTGAGCTGTGTCCAGGGTGGCCTACAGCCTCTCAGCAGCCCGGCTGTGCCTGGGGAGCCGCTTGGACCTACACCAGGCCTTTTTTTCTGGAGGCAGAGTGGTGGGCTTTTGACTTCTAGCCCAATACGGCAAGACTGGCTCTAGCTAGCCCTAAGGGTGTAAGTCTCTTTGTACAGTTTGAGAATTACAAAGGTGTTCCCTGCCGTCCTGATCCTCCCCTCCAGGTCTGTTCCCTTGCTCCCTATGGCTGTTACCTGGGGGGAGCTGACTAGTGGTTTCCGTGGGTCAACTCACACCCCTGCTCTTTGGGCCTTTCATGGAGCTTGGCTGGGCTGGGCTCGACTAACTTATCCCTTCCAGTCCCTGAGCCCAGGTACTGGGGACCTGAGGCCGCCCAGGAGCTGTCTCCACCCTGCCTCCAGCTTGGCAAGTAGACCTTTGCCAGTGTTGCTTACAGAACCCGAGCCTGAGAGCTCCATCTCCTTCCATGGCAAAGCTGGTGCAGGTCCCCTATGCTGAGGGATGGGGCTGTCTATGCTCCATTTCAGGGGAAGAGAGTCGTCTGCCAGGTGAGGTTGCGGCTGATACTGAAGGACCAGGGCCATGTAGTTCCCACACTGAGGGGGCTGGGCAGGGCTGGGGATGTGTGGGTCAGAGGCACGGCAAGGGTTTAGGAGCAGGATGCTGGACAGGTCTGTTTCTGCTGTGTTGGTGACCACATAGTGGCAGATCCTGTGCACTGGTATCTCTCCCCCTACTTTAACTGTGCCTGCTTGCCTTTGAGATGAGCTTGTTTTAAAATAAACTCACCACACCTTCTGTCTCAAAGTCAGGTGCATTCCAACCACCTGTAGTGTGAGAAACAATCCAGGCGTCAGCTTGCCGGGCAGCAGTGTGCTCTCAGCCCCTGGAGGACAGGGTTTGGGGCATGGGTGGGCTGTGGGGGTAATGTTTTGGCAGCTGGAGACACTGCCAGCCATGTAGGCTGCTCTGGTGGGCACAGCCAGCGGTAAGTCAAACCTCTCACCTGTTGCTTCTTCAACCCAAGACTGCATAGCCAATACATGCTCATTGGGAGACGGGGGTGACATGTGGCCCTGCCCTTGGGGCAGCTGGTTTGGGGAATGGGCATTTCCACTGTTGTGTTCCGTTTCACGTGGATCCTGACCATGACCTGGGAGTTCTGAGACACACTGGGCCTGGCCGGGCTCTCCTTGGGAAAGGCTCTCTGCCTCATTTCTCGGCTGCGCAGGCCACAGTCACCGCCAAGCTGACAAGCGCTCTGCTACTTGTGTGACCCTGTGGGTCTAAAACCCCACCTTCATCAGAGAACGAGGATAAAAATCACCTCTTGTTTCTAGCCAGGGGCCAGCAGGAGTCATTCTCCCTACTGGGTGACCCGGTGCAGTGGCATGGGCCTGGCGTCCTAGCACTCAGGAGTCTGAGGTGGGATGGTCGCTTGGTTCCCTGAGTTCAAAAGCACCACCCTGGACAACAGTGACAGCAAAAGTGAGTGGATGGAGCAAGTTGGATGTCCCTTGCCAATAAGATGCAACAGGACATTTAGGAATTTATGCTTCTGAGATTGGGAATGCTCCCTCTTCTCCCCTCTGTCCCTTATTCCATTGAAAACACTCCATAGGGGACCACAGGGTCCTAGTTTCTCTTTCCTTTGGTCATTTTCTCTGACCCTTTTGTTCCACCCTGGAAAGACACCCTGCTTTGATTGTGATGGTGAGGAACACGGACAGTAAACCAGGTTGAAGGTCACGATCAGGGCTTGTCCGAGGGCCACCCATTGTTTAAAAACCACCCGAGACTGCTCAGCACCATTCATGAGCCTCCAGGACATTTCTCTCCAACACCAGCCATCTTTTGTTCGTTTTCTCTGTTCATCTGCTCTCCTGCTGTTAAATTAGAGGTGACCTGCCAGGTGACATGCCTCTCTCATGTTTAAGGGACTGTTTCAGTTTGGGCGGATGAGAAAGTTCTGGAAGTGTTTGCTGGTGATGGCTGTACAAAGTGTTAATGCCCCGGAGCTGTGCGCCAAAAAAATGGCAGAGGTGATAAGTTTCATGTGTGTTTACTACATGAGAAAAATCGAGGGGAGATTATTTTTTTATTTTCCTAGCCAGTCTAACCCAAGGGTCCTTGAAAGTGGAAGGAGTGAGCGTTCAGAGTCGCAGTGAGGGGCTGTGAGAGGGGCTTGACCACTGACCACTGCTGCGAGCTCTGAAGTTGGGAATGGCCTCTAGCAGCCGGACAGGGGAAGAAGTGGATTCTCACTGGAGCAGGCTGAGAGGGACGCGACTGCCCACCCTTGGGTTAGCCCAGGAAGCTGGAGCCACACTTCCTACAGAACTGTGCGAGGTACCTGGGTTGCTTTCGGTCACCGAGACTGGTCACTCAGCAGTCACAGCAGACCAGCCCACCTTTTGTCATGAGGTCAATGTACAGACTCCACCTGGTGTTCTGACCACAGAACCTCATCTCCCTCTTCCCTATTAGATCAGTGCTGGGTGCCCAGAAGGTGCTGGCAAATGACCTGGCCCTGGCTTACTGAGGACGTGGGTGAGCCAAGCCTGTCAGTGTTGGTGTGGTAGGTGTTTTCCTCTGCTTTTCTTTTTTTATTTCTCTTTCTGGCAGTATAGGGATTGGACTCAGAAATCTTGTTCTTGCTAGGCAGGCGGTCTGCTGCTTGAGACATGAGCCCGTTCCGTTTTGCTTTGGTTATTTTCAGATAGGGTCTGTCTTTATGCTCAGGCTGGCCTGGACCTCAGTCCTCCTGTTTCTGCTTCCGGTGTAGCTGGATGACAGGTGTGTGCCACTTTGCCCAGCTCTGCTGCCACTTCCCCTGTTTACGCCACTTTGCCCCTTGTGGGTGGCTTCCTCTCCTACAAGCACACGAGTGAGTTCCTGCATCCCTGTAGTAAAAATTCAAGTGAGGACATTCGTTCTGGAAATATTCATCCCATACACTGTGGAAAATAAAACACCAAAAATGGACATAGATCCTAACGGACGTCTTGCAAGGAGGAGATGACGACCTCAGAACACAAAGCAGGCGAGGAAGTGGACATGATGGAACACTGCCCCCAGAAGGCCCCGTTAGCACAAGGTCACCAGCTTGCCCATGCCTGGCCCTGGGCCTTGGGGTTTACCAGGCACCTGGGATGGGAGGTAAGGCTTTTGGCCCATCAAGTTTACAGCTGGGAGGATTTGAGTTAAAGCTTGTGCCCTCGGAGTGACATTTCCTGGGGGAAGAACGGAATGGTGAAAAGCTACCAGTGTCAAAAGCTATGGGTGTAACTTCTCTCTCTGGTCCTCAGATCTGGGTGGGAAAAAGAGGCTGAGGGATTTTTGGTCAAGATGTGACCTAAAGGAGCCAGGCAGTGGCTCACGCTCCTAGCTATTTGGGAGGCTGAGATCGGGAGGATCACAGTTTGAGGCCAACCTGGGCAGATAGTTTGAGGAGACCTCATCTCCAAAATTAACCAGAGCAAAATGAACTGGTGGTGTGGCTCAAGTGCCGATTTACAAGTACAGAGTCCTGCGTTCAAATTCCAGTCCCACCCCCTAAAAGAGTTGTGGTCTAAAAGTGGTTGATGATTAGAAATGAAAAAAACTGGACCAGGATCCGTTCAGGGTATGGCTAGACCAAGGACCTGAAGAGAGGTCAATGAAATGTTGCTACACACCAGCCACTAGATGGTGCCATCCACCCAGTGCGTTGCTTGATCTGCCTGACCTTTCCTGCCTGTGCTTAAGAACTGGTCAACAGAAAGCACGGTGGTGGTTGCCAGGGTCTGGCAAAAAGGGAGTGCAGAGTGACTGCTAATGGGCATGGAGGAGACTTTTGGAGTGATAGAATGTTCTGGAACCAGATAGGGGCAGTGGTTGTGTTGTAGAATGGCTCAGACAGAGAGCCGGGGCACCAAAGCTTTCCGGGAAGCAAGTTTATTAAGCAGGCCAGCAGTGACAAAGTGGACTCAGTGCAAAGACTGAGTCCCGAGAACAAAGGGGGCTTT